CAACTAATCTCTCACCTTCTTCTCTCTCCATTGATTCAACTTTTAGCTCTATCACTCTCTGTCTCTCCATCCTCCTCATCATCATTCTGCTCCTCCACCCTTTTCACCCCAGTTGGTTGGACAGTTGGTTACTCCGCTGCTCTCTCCTGCCCTCCAACTCTGCCTCTTCATTCCCCCACTGCGAGAAACCAACTGTCCTCCGCTGAGAACCGTCCATTTCACACCACCTATTTAGTATGCAAGAGCGCATAATTGCTCATGTGGAGGGATTTAGTCTGTGTTTGTGTCCGACCGTATGTGTGTGTTTGAATTTGAATGTGCGTGTGTGTCACTGTCTGTGCCCCGAGAGTGTACGAATGCAGCACATTAGTTTTCTTCAGACATAGCCTAAGGATATTTTGGTGACCTTGGTCTTAAGTGAGTATGTGCGTGTGTTGCTCAATTATAGGGATTTCATTTTCCTGCGTGTGGGTGTGCACACGCACTCTGCAGTTAGAGTCTGTGCGTGTGCTGGCGTGCACATGCACATGCATACATACAGGCACCCTTGAGGGGCATGCTTAATGATAGGCTCGTTTGCAGAGCTCTGCCTCTAATGATCTATTAAAGTACACTTAGCCAGTAATTATATGGCCAGTCCCAAAAGGCTTATGAAGCCCCACAAGGGATAACTAAAGATACAAGATAAGAGAAAAGCCAATGTGTTTTATGTCATGCACGAGTATCAAAATTATGATGGCCTTAACCTTTGAGTTTATGAAGAAGAATAAATTAATATAAAGGAAACAGTCAAACTAGAATATTCTTCTTATATGATCACATATGTTCTTAAAATTAAGATGTGTATGAAGTGTTCCTCAAGCTTTGCTGAGCAACATTTAATTCCTCTCTGCACTCTTTTTTTTTCAGGCTTTTACTTATTTATTTTGTCTTTATTCAGAAGTACAGCCTAAAATCGAGGGAGCCAGGCTATCAGTTTCACAGAATTGTGTTTTTAAAATTCAGTAGAATAGTTACCAAGAACAGACGGCCTCTCCTCTAACAAGACCATCAGACTATTATTCTAGTCATTAACAGAATTGTCTCATGAAGTTCAAGAGCAGCTAGAAGCCCCTCAGATTGCAATGCCTCATCTTTTAATCAGGATATACATATGCTGTTCAGATGTGTTTTACAGCTATGTTTCTGCCTCACATCAGAAGTGATGAATTAAAACTATTCTCTTTGCACTCTCTTTATAGTCTCAAACATTTCTGTCAGCTGTCTTTTTGTTTGTTTTGTGGTTTAAAATCAATCTTTGGGCTGTGTTTTTGTGGAATTGGGTGCAAGGGGAATCCCAGCCACAGGCTCAGGCACATATGCAATCCTGGTGCAGTGCAGTCCAATCAGAAAGTACTATTTGTGCAGGATGAATAACAAACAAGTTAGACCAGATTTCGACAGGTGAAATTACTAGTGTAGGCAGATGATATGCAGACAAACAGCGTGCATGGGTACGGTTGTAAGCATGGCTAGCATCAGGGGTAAATATAGACAGTGCAGGCAGTGCCCACTCTCTCTAGAGCAGAGAATAGGCCCCAAGTGATTCAACTTGCCATCTCAGAAATATGCCTGTGTTCAAAGACGAACTCACGTTAGATTACAAATGATGTCATCTGCTATATATGCCCTCAGCAAACCCATCTCTGTCAATGTTTCTTTTTTTTTCTTTTTTGTGAAACAGTAACAATCTATGACAAAATTATATGTTTATTTTACAAAAACGATATAAACTATGAATTAAGTATTTAAAAAATCCATTTAATGAATAATCCATCCATCCATTTTCATCCGCTTATCTGGGGCCGAGTTGCGGGGGCAGCAGGTCAAGCAAAGCACCCCAGACGTCCCTCTCCCCCCAATGCTTTCCAGCTCCTTCTGGGGGACCCCAAGGCGTTCCCAGGCCAGATGAGATATGTAATCCCTCCAGTGTGTTCTGGGTTTGTCCTGGGGCCTCCTACCAGTGGAACGTGCCCGGAACACCTCTAATGGGAGGCGACCAGGAGGCATCATGATCAGATGCCCAAACCACCTCAACTGACCCCTTTCGACGCAAAGGAGCAGCGGCTCTACTCTGAGCTCCCTTCGGATGTCTAAGCTCCATACCCAATCTCTAAGGCTGAGCCCAACCACCCCACATAGAGGGGTCTTGTTCATGAGTGAGGGTAGAACGGGCTCATGAATCATTTCTCATTTTATTTGGTATTTCTGTCATATACAGATTGCAGTGATGATTGGTAATATGTACATTGATGTTGTCCAACGTCAAGTCTGTATTTGATCATGTGATGATACTATAAAATATACAGTAGCTGTTTCAATGCAAAATCTGGCACTAGGGCCCATCATGATAGCTAAACTGGGGCCCATCCTAACTACTATACACCACTGGCTAGCATGTTGAACGAGAGGTCAGAGTTACCATCTCTCTTAAACTGGCTGAACATTGTGATTTACATTTCAAAGTTTAATCAGCACAAAGTGAAGGAGGTGGGGCCAATTCAAGACTGGAGGCACTGCTTCCTACTAAAGATGAATCGGCAGGGCAATCCATTGTGACTGCACCTTTATTAGGAGGAAAACATCAGCAGGTGGAGTTGGGCTGGTAATGGTGACTAATCAGATGTTCAGCTCCTCTCATTTACTTAAAAGGCAGCAGATAGTTTCTAAATGGGCCAGGAGGAGAATCAAGAGAGTTTCTCATTGGAGAAGATGGTTTTTGTCTGGAAGATGCAAAGTCCAAAAGCACGAACATATTTTTCTACCAGCCAGGACAACGGGCCTGGTATTGTTTTACTTTGTGAGTGTGTTTGTGTGCGTGTCATCTTGGCAAAATGTGGTCCTGGAGACACTAATTGTAGCAGGAACAACCGCAGAGTATTTTGCCAGTTATTTGTGTGTACGTCTGTCTGTATGTGGTTAGATTTTGTCACTGCAGTAGCGCCATAGCCATGCAAGATGCAAACACAAAACTGCAATCACAGGTGTGTAGCTGAGATCAAAGTGAAGGCAGAGTTTGAAGATAGGTGTGGTCAGTGCAAAGGCAACTGAGGTAAGGGGGAAGAAGGAAAGGGGGCATTGCGCCATCTTGCGAACGCATCACAAGATAGTCGCTAGTTTGTGTTGTTTGTAACTGCACACCAATTGAAGATAGACCACACAACTTATTCCTGTTGAAGATGTCCTGCTGCTCAGGCCAGGCATCCTTCACATACAGCATCTCACACGAATCTTTGCAACCCACTAACTCCCCCTATCTCTCCCTCTCACCTCTCTCGTTATATCCTTGTGGCTCATCTTGACGATCTCCACACCTTCCTGGAATATATTAGCAGAATTCACCAGTGTTGTTGGTTTTTAACATGCAGCACAGCTGCCCCGCTGTACGCTAGCAAAGCTAAACATTTGGGATTTCCAGATTTCTGAGAGGTTGGCACTGTCTGGGGATAATAAGCCTCCCACTCAAAGTCAATATCCACTGCATCTCCTGCCCTGCTCTGCACCGAGTCTGTATCAGCGCAGTCACCCACTGGTGTCTTCACAGTGGAGTGACTCATGCTCCTCTTGGTCTGAGAGCTTTTTCCACCTACCTGCTTATCAGTTATTTAATTCACTGACCTATTCACTCTTTTTGTCTGAGCATCCATTATCTGATTTGCCTAATCCCCTCTCATCCATTTTCCTCTTACAGATGAAAAAGGCCATTTTTCTCCTTTTCATTTTTCTGTTGAAGCATAGCCATGCCTTAGACTTTGTAAGCTTTGATATCTGCAGGAGACAGTTAAGGTTTCCCTTTGGCTGAGTGAAAAATGTGTTTTGGGTTGTTTTTAAAAATAAGATTTTGGCCTAATCCTTGAGGCTGGTACCACACACTGCGGGTTTCTGCATGGCAGGAGGTCTGAAGCGAGCAGTTGGCATCTTTGATCATTGTTTTCAATTGAAAAATAATTGCTTTCTGACCAATCTTGGTGATATACACCTCTATCTTCTCTTCTACTTGTCTTTCCAACCTGTTTACCATTGGAACTGACATACTCGCATGTATGCATTGTCCCATTTGTTCTCCCCATGCTCTCTGCCGACTGGTCTTACAACACTCCACTGTCACCTGACACCTCTTTCCTCCCACACCACGCCTTTTTATTTTCTTCTTCACCATCCCCTCCAACCCCTGTTATCTTCATCGTCTCTGGCATTGGTGACAGACAGGTAGACCGGGCTTGGTCCGGCTGTCATAAGCTGGATGGAAAAACAGGCTGCCAGGGGAAGGCTGCCACCTGAGGGGGTACTAGGTTCTGACACCTCTATTAACCTTCAGGAAACGTCCATCCCCACTCACTCACACCGCCCCTCCTCCTCTTCCTACTCTTCCTCATCTCTATCCCCGCCTGTCCCCTGTCTGCTGTTCCCCAGGCAGAGAAAAAACAGCTTGTCCCTAGAGCAAAAGAGCCAAATAACAAATACCTGTATTTTTTTTTCTCCTCCTAACCTGGAGCATTTCAATATGCCATGGATTTCTGTCTCACTATCGCAATTATCTATCAGTCTCAGTGTCCTGTCTCAGGCTCTGTCTGTCTGCCTCTCTCTTATTTCAGCCCCTTAGCGTCGCAATCCAGTATGCCTACAATGACCTGTGTGTCAGGAGCAGCATATGGCCAGTGCGAAATGCATGATTCTGTGCAGTGATGCATAGCTAAATGGCAGGAATAAACAAATTGCTGCAGCTTTCTTATGTCAATCAGCCGGAATAATGGGAGTTGATGAAAACTAAGTGAAGCGGATTAAATCGGATGTAAACATATTTGATTAACACACACCCTCTTACCTTGACAGTGATTCGATGTATAATTTGGTGTTATTTAAAGTGAATTACAGCAGATCATGGCGGAATATGACAGCTCCTATCTAAATCAGCTGCATTCACTAATCTCTGCCTGCCTCTGTCTCATTCTGCCCCGCAGGAATTCTCTTTACTCCGACTGGACGACGTGGTTGACCAACGAGTCAACATAGTCGGTTTTTCAGTCTTCAACAACACTCATCCCTTCTTCCAGGATTTTGTGCTAAGCCTCAACCGCTCCTGGCAAGAGAACTGTGACCATGCACCCTTCGCTGGCACCCCAGTAAGTCCATACACATGATGTCACACACACACACACACACAGAGGACTAAAGTAACCCTTGTAGGAATAATGGATGAACCCTTTTTATCTATTTCCTCACCCAAATCCAAACAGGGTCTTCCGAGGCATTACTCTGCTGTATCTCAAACTCACCCACTAAAACACAGAAGTCACTTAGTCACAAAAATGCCTCGGAAATATACAGGGATGACATTTATCCAGTTAACTGTTGTAATTGCAGGTGTAGCTGTAGGCAGTTGTTGTTTTCCAGACAGCTCATTAGCACCGTTTGCCACCTTCCTTATTACATTTATAATGGCATCCTCCTTGTTAAATTTGCTTCAGAGGAAATGCAAAGCAAAAGAGCGGCTTACCTTCACTGCATCCCCCCTTAAATCGTCCACTGTTCTCATCTAAACATTGTCTGCAGCTCAACATTTAAAGTACCTCGCTCTGCATATTTGAATGACTTCAAAATAGCCTCAAATCACACAGCTACTGTTTACACGCCAATGACTGAAGACTATTGCAGGTTTGTTTTTTAAGAAACTTTAAATGAAGATAATTTGTCTCATACTGGCTTAACTGCTTTTCTACATTTGAGCCAACCACTCTAGACAGAAAATTTGGCCCTGGTGCTTGAACATTTTGTATTGTCAGCATAACACTCATGCTTATTTTATGAGATTGGCTTATCTGAGTTTTGGATGTCAGATTCAGCAAATAAAATGTCGTAAATGACCTGCATAAACATGATGAGTGTCACCTATTCATAAATAGGCGCTCGTTTATGAGACCAAATTTTATGAGTATTATCTCACTCCCCAGTAATGCCTCTCAAGGCTCCTTCGCCCATTTGTCCACAAGTGTCACTCATAAAAACGGCAACTGAGAGTAACAAGAAGAACTTCAGCAGCTATTAGATTGAATTCCTGCTCTCGGAGTCCAGTAAAAACAATCTTAGAGTATTATCTCTTACATGTAGTGGAATTTACTGTCTCTTAAAAGAGACCAAGCATGAACTCCTGGTTAGAATTCTATCAGTGTTCTTTGTTCAGGAGGTTTTTACCAGAAGCCAAATTAGCCACAGAGGTCTCTTCCTCTCCAAAACCAGGTGATTAAAACCCTGAATAAAGCAGTTTCAGTGTTTCTCTGATGATGTTCAGCTTGTCAGAGATGGGCTGCTAGCCCAGCACCCGTTAATGTGCACTCACCTTTAATCCCTGATAACTTAAGATCCAGACCTTCAGGAGGTTTTTACTGGGAGCCAAATTATCCACAGAGGTCTCTTCCTCTCAAAACAAACAGACCCTGTGCTTTAAACCAGTAAAACACTGAATAAAGCTGTTTGACATTTTAAAAAATATGTGTTTTTTTTAAACAGCTTGTCACAGAGGGGCTGCTAACTGGGATAATTCACACGTTACAGCCGCTCAAGAGTCAGAAGCAAGTGATATAAGCATATATATGTATATATATAAAAATATATGACAGAGTATAATTGTATAATAATAGATGTGAGACTAATTACACAGTATAAGCCTGTGAATGTATTTCCAGGTGATTATACACTAAAGGAAAGATACTTATTATACGCTATTTCTGCCAGTATATCACCCTAAATCCTACATACTGAACCTTTCACACATACAATTACTGTATATAGAAATCAATATTAAACCATTAATATCATCCATCCATTTTCATCTGTTTATCCTGGACTGGGTTGCGGGAGCAGCTGGCCAAGCAATCATCAATACCATTAATGTTAAAGTCTTTTAGTTCATTTATTAGTTTTGAAACCAACCAAGCTTGTAGTATAATTGGGTTTATACTAAAATAATAATATCAGTAGCAGTAGAGGAAAGTGATTAGTGAATGAAACAGTCAGAAGGTAACGTTTTCTGTGTATTTCAGCCCAATTTCTTCAAAGTAATTAAAATAAAAAAATGTTCTTGTCTTATTGTTTTCAAAGCATGTGATGAATAAATAGAAATTACTGCTTAAAAATACAGCAAGAACCTACAAGAACAAGACGTCTGGGTGCCAAAAATAGAACAAAAAAAAAACAGTGTTTGCAAATTTTCTTAAGGGCTTCATTAGGAAACAGAAATTCAATAAAGGAAGTTAATGAATGAATCCCTTGGTCTCTGTTTGAAGTTTAGAGAAGGTAGAAAAAACAAACTAACGCGCACCCATCACCCACTTCTACCTCCAACAAGCCGGGTGGTGAAACAGGTTAAGAATAGTAAAAACACAGCATGAAAAAAAATCTTGTGTTTTGCACACAGCAGGTCACTCGGATACTTTTGAGCCTGCGGCAATTAGGACTTGTGACTAATTAACTAATAACTAGAGAGAATAAAGGCTGATGAAGGCAGAGCAAGAAAGTGATTAACTCATTTAAACATGCACATAGATAATATGCTGTCTTTTCATTAACAGTAATTAGGTCTGGAGGAAATGTAGCTGTGGGGCTCACACGTACAGCAAATGCATACAAGTGACCTCTTTACATGTGTAGAGCCTCGACATTCAGCGCATTCCAAGACAAAGACGTGCACCCTGCCAACTGATCATAAAAGTCCTTATCAGAAAATGCAATGCATTTTAGGAGTGTGGGTTCATAGGAGACAAATTATTTTAGGAAAAATTATATTGCCTTTAATAATCATGCAATTTTGGGAATCTTTATGAGACTGAAATATCAGTTGGAACACAAGACATGACTGTTCGTGTTAGAGAACATCAAACAAAACCAAAGGAGGGAAGATACAGTATTCATTTTTGTTAAACAGGCCTGAATAATGAAAGCAGCTCATGTTGGCACACAAACAGAGCACACCTCTGAAAGAAGAGCTACTAAGCCGAGTGAAGACCACAATTCTTCTGAATATTTCCAGGTTTTTTTAGACCTCTTGAAGCATGTAAAACTTTGTGATGTGCTTTCTTATCTGGTTCTATTCAGTACATGTCACTGTAATTCTGCGTATCAGCCGCTGAGAGAATGCTGTGTAAAAAAACACTGATTTCAACAATGTGGCCGATACAAGCAGATGTGTGATCCTGTCTTTATTCTAAGGCCTTGTCTACAAGTTCACAGATATTTTTAGAAACTGATATTTGCCTCCTCTTTTTAAAAGAAAAAAAATCTGTCCGTGCGACCTTAAGTCAAAATTTCTCTGTACACACTAGAATGCAAAAAAACCCATCAGACACTCACTGGCGTTAGCTGTCTCCTACATCCCCTCATCACAAAGGTAGTTAGTTACTAGCATTACCTTTCTCAAAAAGCATACTGGAAATCTCAGCACTGTTGATTTCTGTTTGATATACAGTCAAAGGGCCTCACTCAAAGTTATAAGTGATGCTGGGAACATGAGAAAGTTTTCCCTCCACTCCTCATTGACAACAATCCCATTCTCAAATAGTCCCACCATTTGCTTGTTTGACCTGAGGCCTGTACTACAAAGCCAGATCAACTTACCCAGGATATCTTTTCGTTATCTGGTTTGACTAACCCTAACATTGGTCGTTGGGATAACCTGTACTACAAAGCTGGTTATCAACTAGTTCAGTCAACTCTGGGTTTTCCTATGCAGCCACGAGCATGTTCATGTTAAAGAGGTTCTACTGACCTCTAACAATATATAGGTTACTCTTTTTTTACATGAGACTTTGGACTTTCGTAAATGGATACTTTTTTCTTCAGTGATCTGACTGGTCAGAGGTCGGGGTGTTGACAGGCTGTGATCCAATACCGTGAAGTTAACTTGCTCCGGAGCAGGTTAGCTGTTCAGCATGAGTTAACATGGTGATTTATCCTGGTAAAAAGAGAACCAGCTTCATAGTACTGAAAACCAAGAGTTAACGCTGGAGTTACCTTGCTAACTCCAAATCTCGTTTCGTCGTAAAAGTCTCAAGCCTGGTGATCCAAAACTGTCGTTTCTGGTGGACTTTGAACTACAGACGCTGAGGTGGACTAAATGACACTGGGTGCAGCAGATGCCTCCTTTCATCCATGAAGTGGCGCAGCAGCACTAGGTTTAGGTGTAGAGTTGGCTGGTTATAAGACCAAGCAAACATGTAGTCCGCAGTTGTTGTTGTTGTTGTTGTTGCTTCAGGCTCATATTCATCACAGAAAGCAAAAATGGACATGCTTGAATTGAGGAGATGATGTCATTGTTTTCCAAATGCTCTGTTTCACACGTCCACATGCATTCATAGTAAAGAGAGTTTTGAAAAATCTGCACCTTAGAAGGCATTAGAACTGTTTGTGTGGACGAGAGATCAACATATAGAGAAAAATATCAGTTTTCAAAAATCTCGTATCTGTGTTCATGCAGACGGACCTATGACAAGAACAAAATTTACCTTTTGTACAAGCTATGTAATATTGATCCACCTGCTCTGTACGCCACACACAGTGATAGATGCGAACAAAGACAGACAGCCAATATGAACCGAAGATGAGTAAATGTCACAGCATTATTAGTCTCACATCACAGAAATCATTAGATACAAGTGTAATATCATCAGAAACATCGTAACACTTTGCACATTTGCTTTTTAATGCTGACTTAACAACCACCAAGACATTATTCCCATATGTCAAACCTAAAATGCTTCGCCTCGTGGTCGTAATGTCTTCACAGGCTGTTTGTGTACACCATATTGCTCTTAATGTGCAATCCACCAATTATGTTCGCCAATTCAAGGTTGTAATACATCACAGGTTTGCAGTTTAATGGCCTATTGTAGTTCTCTTTGGTCTCCAAAATTTACTGTGCATCACAATTCCTCCCTGTATCAATATCCACCAAACATCAGGGCCATTTTAACTCTACTGCAATTACACAGATGTACTGCACTGAATCTCAGACTCTCCCCTAAACTCTAATGCGGGACATCGTGCATTTTAATCAAATGTACATAGCAGGATGCAGAGGTAGTGACGAGGAGGCTGTTGGTACAGGGGTGATGAGAGGGAAAGCTGCCTCTCCCACTGTTTTTTGGCCTTCGCTGAGAGAAGCAGGCGGTAATTGGAATGGTCAGGGTGTGCCAGCTTCATTGGGGATAAGAGTAGGAAGGACAGCGTCTCTCTGAGAGACGAAGAGAGAGGGAGAGATGGTTTTCAACGCTGTCAGCAGATCAGAGTCTTTCTAATGATCTAATGGAATAATCTCACTGCCACTCCAGGGATGGGTTAACCCCTCACTGACCGCTAACCACTGACATGTTACACTTGCTGTTTGTGTGCTTTTGCAGCTGTGTGTGTGTGTGTGTGTGGGTGTTGGGGTGTGAATGCATAATGTTTTCACCTTCTTCCCTCCCTCTGCAGCTCTCCTCGGCTCTGCTCTTTGATGCGGTATACGCGGTGGTGGCGGCGGTCCAGGAGTTGAACCGTAGCCAGAATGTTGGCGCCACGCAGCTCTCCTGCAAGTCCTCCAAGATCTGGGAGCATGGCACCAGCCTCATGAATTACCTGAGGATGGTAAGATTGCCTCTGCTGGACATCATGAGAATAAGACGAAAGGACTGATCACTGCTCGCCTGAAAGGAGTAGTTTGACATTGTGGGAAATGTTCTTGAGTTAGATGAGAATGTTGATTCCACCCTCTTGTCTGTGTGGTAAAAAGCTGCAGCCAAGAGTTGTTTATCTTAGCTTAGCATAAAGACTGGAGGAGGGGGAAAACAACTAGCCCGGCTCAGTCTAAAGCTAATAAAATCCACCTACAAGGACTCTTAATGCTCAATAATTATTGTGTTATATCTTGTTCACAGTATTTTCTGCTGCTGGTGAAAATATCTAAGCTCTAAAATATCCCATTAACATGTGGAAAGTTCAGCAGGAGCAGAATAAGTGAGACACTGGATCAACAAAGACACGCGAAAACATAATATACAGCCTATCTGTATGCCAAAGCTAGTGCCAGCACCTAGTTAGCTTAGCATAAAGGCTGGAAGTGCTAGGAAAGGTTAGCCGAATGCTTCTAAAGCTCACAAATTAAGGTTCAAGGGGAAATTTGTGTTGTAGCAAGGGCTCATGTAAAAACATAAAGCAGAATACAAAGGACATCATCAACCACACATGATCACAAAGAATCAACAGAGCTGAAGTAAGATGCACTTGTACAAAAGTGCAAAGTGCAAGTGTGCAGAGGAAGAGTGAGCATACAGCCAGAATGCTATTTGCTATTAAGTATATCCATAACACTTGGGATTAAGGAATTGTTTCTCCAAATGGTTGCCCTGAAACAACGTCAGGAGGGCAATAGCTTAAACTAATCCAGGGCCTGGCAGTCCAATTAGCCCTTAGAGTTATAAGTGTCCAAAGCTTGGCCTGGCTTTTCCCTGAAATCTTACTAGCCGTTTGGACAAGACTTCCACGCCTATTCTTATTGGACTAATTTAGATTTTCAAACCAAGCAATTATACAAAAACATGAAATTAACATATTATTTTCATTTGTTTAATCTGTACAAAAAGCTGTTTCTTGGCCTAGCACAGTGACCTCCTGATCTTGTGACTGTGAGATTGCCAGTCACCAGCAGAGACTTGAAGAACTCACTGCGCCTTGCCAAAACACAGCCTGGCACATAACCCCCAGTAAAACCACAAGGAACATGATATAATGTGTTAATAAGTGAGCTGTGGAAGTCATGTTAGGTGGAGTTTGTTACCTTGAGATAGAGCCAGGCTAGCTGTTTCTCCCCGTTGGGGGGCGGCAGTAGCTCAGTCCACAGGGACCTGGCTGAAGTCCCCATACCTACAAGCATGGAGTGTGGACTGGGAGCTGGAGAGCGGGCAGTTTGTCTCCTGGGCACTGCCAAGATGCCCTTGAACAAGGCACTGAACCCCATACTGCTCGGGGTACCTGTCCAAGGCAGCCCCCTCGTTTTGACATCTCTTAATTTGATGCATGTAAAGGTCCTGTTTGTGCACGTGTGTGTATTTCAGGCCTTTGTGTGTACATGACAACAGAGTGGATTGAATTTCCCCTCAGGGATTGATAAAGTATATCTTCTTCTTCTTCTTTCTCATTTTCAGTCTTTATGCTAAGCTAAACAGTTGCTTCATACTTGCTGCACATAAATCACAGAAAGACTCTTTACATCTGACTTTAAGAATAAATCATATTTCCCAAAATGTTTAACTATTTTTATTACTATTCAAATGGAAGATTTTTCATGTTTTTGTGCATTTCTTATTCTGTTTTTGGACTCTCTCCCTTGCACCAACAAGAAGGGCAGGAAATAACCTTAATTAGACAATGTCAGATAGCCAGGCTCATTGAGATCTTCGTTATTGCTTCACTTATGTTGCATATTAATTGGTTATTTTAGAGCCCAGATATTTTCGCTGACAGCCGATAATAATGTGTAGTCTGTGCTCTCATCGTCTTTAAAGATATGCTCCCGGATCCACTAGGTCAGTTTATCTCACCTCTACATTATACTGAGAGACAATAGAGGAGGGGAGATAAAGATGAGCTGTCAGTGAATAAAATGTGTTATCCTATTAGAGAGAAATGGCTGTAAGTGATTGGGCTATCGAAATACTCAAATGTGGCATGTGTTCGATATCAGACTGTTTGTCTTTCCCCCTCAAATAGACTAATGGCTCGTCTTTTTTGCGGTAAATTGAAGATATTACAGCCTTGTCTTCATATTATTATTCTTAATTTGACATATTTCAAAAAGCTGGTACTGAGCCAGTGGTGCTAATGTAGCCTACAGTTGTATCCATAATAGTTGCTGCTCAGAGGGACGCAGGCAGTATTTCTCTGCGCGTCTTTTAACGTGTTGCTGTCTCTGTGTTGGATAGGTAGAATTGGAAGGTCTAACAGGCCACATTGAATTCAACAGCAAAGGTCAGAGGTCTAACTACGCCCTGCGGATCATGCAGAACAGCAAGGATGGCCTAAGGCAGGTAAAGTAACTCCCAGTCTTACAAATCTGATGTTGGCATTATCTGTCTTCAAAATAATCACATGCTGTGGATTCGGGCAGCATCAGCACAGCTTGCTATAGCATAAAGTGCATTGGTTCAACTGAATTTACATATAAATAGTGTGGTATTTCAGAAGTGGCTCACACCAATTCTTCCATTTTCTCTTTAGATAGACGCTGGCCATAATATACCTGTTACTGCTGAACACAGAGCTCTTCAGCACAGCCCTGATCTCAGTAGGGCACTACTTCTGGCAAATTTTACAGTTGTCTTTATGGCAGTGAGGTAACTCCAGCTGGATCGTACAGCAGGGAGCTGTGATAACACTCGCTCAACTGACATCTTTTGGTGCAAACAGTCCCCATTATCCTGCTAGCAGAAGTGTCAAGGTGCCAGAGGACAAAATTTAATATTAGAGAGGCCTGTTTGAAGGTGCAAAGACGTGTATTTTTATGGAGAATTAATTTAGGGTAAAACAGAAGCCAGTAAGTGTTGGCTGAGTATTAATATTTTAGTCTTGTCTCACAAAACTACTCCAATATATCAGCAGGCATTTTGTGGGTGGTGCGATCAATACCAGTCACTCCAGTATTGCCTCAGTAGATGCTGGGATTTCAAGCTTCCTACACAAGTAGCCTTATTGTGCTCTTTCATAAAGTGAAAGCACTCTTCATGCACCACAGGGCCTTTCAGTCTGTGCCCCGAACCACCCGGCACAGTCTCCGAAACTGGTGTCCTCTGACATCTTTCTGTCTCAGTTTCACACCAGGGAACACAGTTTCAAATGCTTAATTTCTTCCAAATTGAACACATTTACCAGAATTACAAGGACTGAAAGCAGTCGGTAATGAAATGTAAGTGAGTAGAGGCTTTGAGCAGCTTTGAGTAATGACTGTTAATGGATGGATGGATGGATGGATGGCAGAGCTACTGGTGCTCTTGTGCTATGTACTCTATCAGTTGCTCAGGGGTTTGGCTATGTTACAGCAGAAGTTTCCAGTGTTTCATATCAAGAATCCACAAATTTAATGCAAGTACCTTATTTGAATTGGCGCTATATGACTAGAGAAAACAGAAAAAGGCTGAGGCATTTGCTTTCGTTCAAGAGGTAGAAAACCTACAGCTACCAGAATGTATCGTGCTGCACTTGACCAATAAACGCTCCCGTTGGTAGGTGATGTCTGGCCCTTTTTGCCACAGGAAACAATATGGCTGCAGGCTGGTGACAAACTTCCTTGAACAGTCAAACCGTAGGCTAAAATGTATTTCTGAAAACATTGTAGATGAGAAACAGTAACATAATCTTTGTTCATATTTGACCAGCACTGTGCCGTTTTATAGTCTGATCTGAGAGGGGCAGCTCTCTCTCTAGATCTGCTTCTACTTCTATCTGCGGTGGTGGGCATGTGAAAAAGTACAATCTATAGTTTGAGTGAAAATATCTCGGATGACGCAGATTTGAGCTGAGAGATGAGCAGGGAGATCTGGGCGCTGGTGAGATGGAGGGAAGTTTGCCACAGTTGATTTACACATCCTACCCACATTGTTTTGATACCAAACTGGTTGAACAGTAAAGTATCCCCTGAAGACACCAGTGTGAAAATCTTTTTTTTGTTTGGTAATAATATATGAGTGTACAGATTAACAGATGATTTGTGCTGATTACTAAGATTTAACAGAAGTCTTTGGCACTTGGACACCAGAGGGAGATATTTTGTGATCGAGGGACATATGAGCAGCAACAAGATAAATCCTCCATGGAGTCCTGACAGTGGCAGAGGTGGTCGTGGCTGATGACTCTGAGGCTGCTGACTGATGAGGCGTATGAGGCTGATGAATCTGTAAAGACTAGGTGGTGATGGGGAGGTGGAGGGCACGCACGACGGCAGCAAGAAAGAACTACAGTAGATAAAGAACCATATTTGATTGAGGAGCAGTACGATGATAGTCTGACAGAGATGGTGTGTTGTGTGCTATTGGTTGATTGTGAATTGGCTGATGACTCAATTGACAGCCCCAAACAATGACATCTAGAGATAGTGAGTGAGCATACATGCAAAGAGTGAATGGCAGGATGAGGAAGAAAACTTAGGCCTGAGCATGAAAAGAATCGTCTTCCTGACTGATCCTTTGCTAGAGCGTCATTTGTAAAACCATCCCAGACAAAACAACAATGTCTAAATACTAAAATGGAGAACTAATGGAGAACATTCGTTGGACCCCACTTTGGGAAGCAGTGACCAGGAGTTTAGTGAGGCAGGTGGAGGCAAGAACATTGCCTCAAATCAATGACTGGCTGGGGAAAATCTGTGCGGGCAAAGTGATTGCCCAATACTCTCCCATCCATCAACAGCATCTCCAAGTGCTCCAGTGGGGCTGAGCCGTCAACAGCAGTAAAAATCTGTGTTTGATCTCCCAGGTAAAAAATATAGGTTGTTTGTGAGGGGGAAAAATGGGGTCAATGGTAAATATCAGCACAATGGTAGCAGAAGCTGTGAATAGCGGAGTGATAGAGGCGTTGATCAAGATGAAGAATCTGGCTGTGGACATGTTTGCTTTCATGGTAATATACAGGTACCCCAAGGTTTCAGAATATTTATAAAGATAACATCTCCTATATGAGTCACAGAAAACGCTTAAATTCCCATTTTGTACACTGATGTGTTCTGACAGATATCGCAGTGGGTGTGATAACTGTGTACTGTGGAATTGAGGGATAAATAGGACTGTATTGGTGAACCAAGCGATGGGGAAAAATGCACAAAATAACCTAAAGATGGAGGGAATGTGTATGGATGAGTCATATAAGTAAAGATGTATTTCCAATTTCTTCTGCCAACCCTGTTTAAAGAATAGCAAGTTGTTTCCAAGCCAACGAAGTATCCAGTCACACTGCGCAACAGTACCTGATATTGTGTGTGACATTACAAAAATCTATTTATACGTAACAGTGACAGCCTCACAACATCTTTTTTTTTTTAAGAAAATGGGGCAGAAAAGTTTACAAAGTATAAAAAGTTGTGGACAAAATGTACTATAAGTTCAGCATTCAAAATGTTTTATACCAAGAAATCAAGTGACAACAGTGTTTGGGGGGAGAATCTGAGCCATGCATCACATATCACATTATAACTACCATCACTTCAGCCAGTATAAAGACACATAGAGAACTGCTCTAATGCATCATAACAGATAGTTCCTATAAAAGAAATAATGTCTCATAAACATCAATAATACACTGTGGTGTGACTTTGGGAGATTTAAATAAAGTGACAGCACTGTATAAGGTTGCTAGCAATTGTTTGATACTATAACACAATTATGAGGACTTTGAGCAGTATTTCCTGGTATAAGTATAAGACAAAAAAAATAATTACAATGATTATCAAAGCCATCTTTATTTTCCAAATTTGAACACTTGCTGGGCAGAAAACATAAATTTCATGTTACTGGTCATCTGTTGAAGGACACTAGATAATATGATGATATTAATATGAATATGTTAATAATATGGTAAGGTAATAATATTGTGAGGTAATATGAAGATATTAATATTTTAATATCATAAGTACTAGTGTTGAACACTGTAGCATATTGCACATTGTATTATTTTTATTATTTAATTACTATTGTTTTTGTTTTGATGCACATTTTCATTTTATTTTATTTTTATTTTAATCTGTTTTATTTTGTTTTATTATGTTCAATTTTATTTATTTTTTTATTTTATTTTGTTTAATTCAATTTTATTTTATTGTATTTCATTTTATTTTATTTTAATCTGTTTTATTTTATTTTAATACATTTTATTTTGTGTTATTTTTTTTTATTGCTTCATATTTACATACCTCTATTTCATACTCTTACATATATTCTTACTGCTTATAATTCTCTATTTTTTACTTTGGAGCAACTGCAACAAATCACAGTTTCCCTTTGGGGATCCATAAAGTATTTCTGATTCTGAATCTGATGTTGTTCAAAAATGTGAAAAGATAGTTTTGCAACCTTTCCTCGGCGGTGGAAAAAGCCTTAAACTGGGATTGCACTGATTTTGGTCTCTAAAGAGACTGTTATTTTTTTTATTTTACCTTTTTTACCTGGTGTAACTTGGCTTGGCTCATGTGCTCATTTTCAGCAACACCCTGCTTCACTCTCTGAGCCACAGCGGTCCTGGCAGATTGCCCAGTACAACCCTAGTCTCTCTACCATTGGTCAATGGGTTTGGTGTGATGGTGCTACTGTCAGTTTAATTAAAATATGAAGCTGCATGTTTTGGAAAATAAAGATTAATCATTTTATGATCTTTGTAGGTATAATGCATTAAAAATGTTAAGCTTATAACACAGTATGCCCATCACTTATACTTTACAGACCTTGTTGTAAGCTGTCATCCATGATTATAACTGCATTATAATGTCTTATGAATGTGCTTATAATGCATTAAAAACATGACCTTCATAGAAAGTGTTACCGAAAATGGGTAACTGTTGAAAGTCTTCAGCGACCAAGCCCAAATTAAGCTTCAGTGTTGCTTTGAGCCTGAGACAAGAGACATCTAGAACCAGAGGGATGAGATGCTGTGGGCATGAGGACAGTGTGTGTCAATGCAGACGTAAGCATCCATTTACGTATGCTATGACCCCCTTCATATATGCTTCATTTTATAATGAGTTACCTGTAAATGTTCACTTCCAAATGAACCAAGACCCCCAGTTTTCAAGCGGACCAGGGTTTGCCCGTTTTGGAGTTCGACTGAGCGTTAACACCACTCCAAACGAACCGAACTATCTGAGGAAGCAGACCAGGGTTAGTTTATAGTGTATAGTGTATAGCACCAGTGTGACTGTTTCCTATTTACATTGTTGCACATTTAAAGTATGTCAGAAAAACAACAGTAAAGACACTGGTGGGCTTTGTCATGTATTGTTCTCATGCATTTTATTATATCTGCACGCTGTGTCTCAGCAGAGCCGACG